CTATGATTTAATGATTCTATGATTCTATGATTCTATGAAATAAAACAAGGAGGTAAAACACGTCTTTTTTCAGATCAGCTATTATTATTTGGACAAAAGCCAGCCACATTTAAGGCACAGAAGATTTTGACAGTCTTCAGTTAGCAGCATAGTCATGTACTATTTTTTCCCAGAGTACACCCGTCTCAATACTCAAAATAGTTTTTGAACTGTTAATTAATACTGTATTTTACCCACATCGTTTACCATGTCATCATTTGATCTAGCTACTTCCTCAAATTTTTCTTTACAGCACCCATGTGAACAGGTACTCCATGAACAGACCATGGCAGAGGCAGAGAATTCATTTCTCCAGACCAACAATCCCATGTCTAAGTCCACAACAGTCCTCTCTATTCCTACAATTCCCTTCTTCATTAACTATCTACTTTCCAGTTTCTGCAAGAAGAAAAGCAAAGGTCCACCAGCCACCAAACACTGTGTAACTTTGATTTATCCCCAGCAAGTAGTTCATCATCATATAATTAAAGATTGTGTCATAAAACATGAGCAGAAGGGGACAAAAGTAGGATGGTTTAGGATAAAAAGTCAAACGAATGGTGCTCAGTCCCCCAGCATTAGAACCACAAAGTCTCTATGTAATACTTAACAGTTTAATTCAGATGTTTTTCCTTTGAATAAAAAAGGCTGTTAAATCAGAAAGTGTTTCAGCCTCTTTTTATTCAGAAATTGGTTTTAAAGTGCCTCTCATCATCTCTCTCTCAGATTGAATCCAGACCTCTTCACTGTTCTGTTATCAAACTATCTTCTCTGAAGTTAAAAGCTATGTTCTCTTTTCACTGTCTCATGCAGAAATATAATACTGGCAAAAAGACACAGGGCTGTCTTTCAATTACTAAATCAGACATGAAACTGCCTTCTCCAAAGCTTTCAGCATGACCCCTTTTATACCGAGGCTGGCAGAAAGGCACGGAAGTTCTTTTCTTCCTCTCTTGTGTGAGGGAGAAATTGTTAACTACAAAATGCAGATTGAGAGAATGGTTTAAGAGTGCTGTTGTACTTTACGATGCACCAAGATTACTTGATAATAAAAATCTTTCATTGTATCTTTATCTCAGAAACAAGGAAACAACATACTCAGAAAGAAGAGCCTGAAAATTAGAAGGTGGGTAAGGTCAGTGTCCCAGAATATTAAGCAGGAGAACATTTGGGGAAGAACAGATATTGCAAGTAGGGGATCGGAGCATATTCAATATAACATGTCAATGATCATTAATTAACGTTTATTTAAAGGGGGGGTGGGGTGTTTGTTTTTTATACCAATGTGCTTGTATGTGCCCCTACACTAATAATATTAATGTCTCCTGACCAAAGAGACCAAAACTATGAGGAAGCAGGCTGACTGCCTCTGAGGCTTTTCATGCCCTCAAGGGTATGAAGATCATAACCACTCAAGATCAAAAATCATTGTGGTTAGGACTGGCCAGCCTCTCTCTACAGCATTTTATGAACCATTTACAGCTGGTAACTACATCACTGGAGGAAATGTCTCCTGCTATTCTTTTTCTCTTAAAGACATATTAATGAGGCACAAACCTGTTTTTCTGCTCTTCTTTTCAGGCTCTTAATCTCAGTGCTCAGTCATCATAGACAGTCATAAATACAGCTTCAGGCCACCTAGTTCTTTATTACGACAGTGACTGTCCCATGGTATGTTTTCCCACATCCATGGGCCATTTTCTGGACTTCTGCCCCTCAATTTCATTTATACCCTCTTCCTCTAGCCTGCACCCACAACAGCTGTTGCCATTGAAATGCCTGTTACCATTTCAATTTTGCAAGATCAACACAAAGTACCATAAGCATACCACTAAGCATTGCTGCAGTATTAAACATTCTGAAAAAGGGGTTCTGTAGTTTTTACAGAACTTTGAATGGAAGTTTATTTCATCCCATTAATCTTGTCCTCTGCAGCTGATTTCATTTTTTGGGGAAGGGAACCTGTCCCAGGTGGATCTTACTCTTGTGAAAGCTCCAGCACAAGTAATACCAGCGGTGTTATGACTTTTCCCCCTCTGCCATCACACCCTACAGGATGGGAATCTGCCCCAGCATTCTTGCTCCCTCACCCACATCTCTCCTAGGATACACTGATCTTGTTATGCCCTTGTACTTTCCTTAGGCCAGAAAAGAACAAAACTATTTAGAAAGAAAGGAAGAGCAAGCACAGACTTTCCACCCCCTTCCCATTGCTGAAGCAGAGAGACCATATAGCAACAACATCCAGCATGGGTGACAGGGATTGGTATGGTAGAGCAGGACATTAAAACAGTGTAACAGCAGCAACACCCAATAATTTTTGTATTGTTTGGCACCATTCATCTTTAGAATTACAATACAATCTTTATGTGAGTAATGGAGCTTTTAACACTTATAGCTTTCTGAAATATTGTTGAAGTTTTGTTGACACACAGAAATTAAAAGTATTCTGGAAGCCTGTCTCAGCCACTTACAAGAAAGAAACTAAAACAGCAGCTACAATAGTCATACTGGAGCTATAATCCTTGGTTATTGAAAATAGAGTTTGTGATCTGACTCACGTGTGATGGCTTCATGGTAGTTACGCATATGTGAGGTGTCTTCACTACTGCCTCTATTTTAAAGCAAACACAAATGCTGAAAATCTTACCAAAGAAGGGCTCTTTTTGAAGGACCTGTGAAATTCAAAGCATTAAAGATTCTCCCATCTCCTTTCCAGTGATTCTTAACCTTTTGCCTGAGTATGCCCAGTAACCACAGGAAAACAACACAGAAAAATTGTTGCAGCAGCCAAAACATAATAGAGGGCCTGATGAGAAACAATGAACTCGCCTCTATTGGCATCAGTCTGTGGCCTGACTTAGCTGACATGGTATTGTGCTTACCTGGAAGAATAGGCTGACCCTGCTGTAAAACAGGAAGCTCCATAGATATTTCCCCATCAGCCTGGTCCCAGGCCAGCCATCGATGTGCAGGGAAAGAAAACTCCTCCCCTGAGAAAAGGTTCAGCAACTGCACCTAAACAGCGCCAAGAATTGCAATTTAAGTTGCTGATCTCAGTCCAGATAGAACAGAACATGTGATGTGTGGGATGCTGTTGAAATCCGTGCAGGTAGATCTCTGTGGCATGATCACAAAACCATGGGTTTGGGGCATTTCTCTTCCCAGAATATAACTACCCCCAATCTGACTTTTCACTCGGTCAGATTCGAAAATGCAGGGCAGAGTAACTCAAGTGCAGTCAAGAAACAGGGTTTATCAGCTCAGGCACCATCCCACAAAATATAGCTATGTTGTTCCAGCTGGTATATCCACATGGGCTGGCACTAGGTGGCATGGCTTACCAAACATGGAAGTTCTCACTGGGAAGCTTGGCAATGCTTGCAGTTCTATTCCTTTAACTTATTCTTTTTTTTATCAGAACAGGAATTAAAGGAACAGCTTTTGATTCTTCAACACTGCTTGTGACATAAATAAACCAGGAAAGTGCTAGCCCCAACACCAGTCTGCCCCACACAATTTTCTTCCATACCCAACTTCTAGCATATAGCAGCAAAAGGACCATATGCACACCAGCTGAAGAAGGGAAGGAGATCTAGTTATTTTGTACTTCAAAGTATTCCTTAGTAAGGACCTCAGAGGCTGTTGATATATTAGAATAGTCCCTGATTATGCTAATTTATACTAGTAGCTACACTAGATTTTGGACCAGCAGAGAGAAGCAAAGACACTTCTACCTGTAGTTTCACTCCTGCTCTGCACTTTGCAGAATCTAATCTCCTTAATTTGAATATTGAACAAATTCAGAATTACTGGAAACATTTTTGTCTCTTTTACTGCTTGAATACTAAACTTAAAAGAAAGAGATTAATCTTGTCTGAAAAACCTGGCACATCTCGGCCTGTGAACATCTACTGATGGATCTTGAAAAGGGAGCTTGGATTAGCGAAGCAGCACCTTTGTGGACATTTTCAGGCCTGATACAATCTCAGTAGAGAGACAGACACAGCAGCCATGGGATACTGGTGGAGGACTAGCATGCCTAACTACCAGAAAAGCTCTGCAGTTGTAGAGCACTCTCTCTTAATTTCAGATCTTCCAGAAAAATGTAGGTTTCCCAAGGAACAATGATAAGTGTCTGATGAGCCCGCTGTAGGTTGTTTCTTTTCCATGAAGTCAGTCAGTCACCAGTGGCTATACTCCTTTGGCTCTCTACCATACAAAATGCTAGGTTACTTGTAGAGTGTGTTTGGTTGAATGGATTTCTTTTCCTCGACTTTCTGCCCAAAGTTGCAAAGAGGGAATGACCTAACCCTGGCTGATAAATCCCTCCGTAAAAACTGTGCCTGACTGAGATTTGGTAAGGAGACAATTAAAATCCATAAACCAATAATAATCAATGGAACACACTGAAGTGTTGAATCCTTCTTTTAAAATTTTACTGTTGATTTCAATTAATATATGCTAGCTGGGAAGTGAGAAAGGGAATAATAACTTCTCATTTTTTCCTTCCTTTTTTTGTCAGACTTCTTCAATCTCTCAATTTAAATGGGTGTCTTACACAAAGTGGGCAGTGCAGCCTCTATTCACAGAGGATGGTGTACAAAAAACATGCAAAGGTCCATTTGTTGAGTCAGGTTTTATGATAACCAAAACTTCTAATACCAAGACTAAGCATACAAATGAACCTTTTCTATAAGAGAAAACCCACTGTTCTCTTCTAGCTTCTCAACTCAGAAACACTTTAGAAATTGCTGGTAATCTGTCCCTCTGTCTCACAAGACAAGGCTATGAGGTATTTTCCAGCCTTTCACTGCTTCCACACACACATTTATGAAAAGAAAAATAGCAAGGAACAGAAGAAAAAAGTATCTTAAATGATATTCTGACTCCAGCATTCCCCAAAACAGCACAGCTGGAAAACAAATACCTAGGCTTTATAATCAGGCAATCCTCACCTGAATTGAAAGAGATATAATCCTTATAATTCTAGCATGAAACCTCTTAGACAGAATGATACTACCGGTGACATAATATTTCAATGTAGACATGCATTGGCTAGAGGTATGAACTCACAGGATCTTGCCTAAACTTCAGTTAACACTGCCCAGACCTTACTTAGTCTTCTTTCTCAGTCTCAGTCCCAGATGAAAACAACTAGTTAAAGCATCAAATGGCCACAGAGTTTGAATATGGCTCACTGAATATTTAACTTCAGTGAACACTTTGCATTAGATAGATCTAGATTTACCCTGAAGTACCATTACAACAATGAGTTTACCGGAAGCTTCTAAAGCCCTTCATAAACTGCTGTCTCTTAACTGAAGGATAAGAAACTCCGGCACAAAAAGGGAAGTGTTTCAGGTATGCATAGCATATCATTGGCACACATAGTACATCACCGATGTTAGGGATAAAAGTCAGATCCTTTCATTCCCAGTCCAGAAACCTATATACTATGCTTCACGACTGAAGCTTGAAACAGAACTAGCTGATTCTCTTTGCTTTATTATCTTTGCTTTACCTGCATCAAGATCTTCTTTAAGTAAGGAGGGAGAAGAACCTGTTATTGTCTTTTTCTCCTCAGAGACACAGAACTAGAAACATTTGCAATGTAGCTCTGGTGCTGTGCATAAGGACCCAGCATCAGCCACAGATTTGAGGAGGACTTGGCTAGACTGAGTTTAATGACTTCCTGGGTTTCAGCAAACTCTAGACACTCTGTAGCGTATAAAGATTGTAGAAGACAGCCTACAGCAGCCAACTTAAGCAGTCTTTCTTGCTGCCCAGCCACACGTTTTTAAAGAAACAATGTACAGCTCTCACTAAACTGCAAATAGCCAAGACATACCATTGTAAGCTGCCTTAATTCCACACAAAAACACTCCTTCATAAATAATCTCTTAAATGAAGCTGCAAGCATTTGATGAGGTTAATATACTTATCCCAGGGATTTTTTCTGACTCGTATTTTGACCCCACTGTCCTAGTGACTGCTTCTGGAAAGATAAAATTCTTTGTCACTGCTTTTACCTCTTCACAGTGCCAGGCAGGGGAGTTTCCTGCATTCGTATGTCCTATGCGTATTTTGTAGAGATGTCCTATGTTTCCAGTATTAACCTGTAAAAGAAACACAACTGATGAAACACAGAACGTTTGTCAAAAAGAAAAGGCATGCAACAGAAATTCATTTACTAACTGTCAGGTGACATTTTTGTATAGAGGAATTAAATATTCTGATATTTAAACAAGTGTTTCCAAAATATTTGCATTAGAAGCTTGGCTCTTTTAAAGGACAACCCCTAAAAAACCTGTTGGACTGCCAATCCCATTTAAACGGCTTCAGGATGCTGTTGTAGCTATTTTGTTCACCACTGAATATTTGCCTCAGTGGGAGATGAATACAGACTGTGTGTATGACTAAAAAGCAAAAGTGTCTTGACCCTAAAACCCGGCTCAGTTTAGCATCTATACCACTGACCTGCTACAAAATTATTTCTGTTGCCCAAGCACCTCCCATATCTCTCTGAGTTTCTCCCTACCCCTCCAGGAGGGTATGCCCTACAATTTTGGAAACAATTGTGTTCAGCTTTGATGTTTCCTTTTAAAAATCATTTCAGTTAAATCAACTCAAAAAAGCTGTATTTGAAAGATTAGCTCTTGGGCAGGCTGGATGAGTGTGTCCAGTACAGATAACAAGGTGCTGAGGGAATAACTTTGTGTGAAGATTACTCAAACAACTAGTTATGAACTTAAGTGTAGAAATAGAAAGCTTATCTTCAAGGAACTGGAAACACACCGTGAGTGTCTTCCCTCCTTGCTGTATCTTTTTTTTTCTTATTAGGTAGGCTGGATTTGCTGTTCTTCTGTTATTTTCTGTAGAATTCATTTTCATGTTTTGATTTACATTGTAGAGGTGGGTGTAAAATGAGTTGCCTGTATCATGAACTTCCCTGAACTCAGTGTTATAAACAATAAAGAGACAGATCAGTGAGGACAGACCAGAGTTAACTGAGATCTAGCATATGGCACAAGCAGAGCAGCTTTTCTCTTTCCATACGTTTCAGAGTGGGCACTCTGTAATTGTATTCAGTGCTATGGATACTCACCTAAGAGGGGAATCCTAGGTCCCAAACCAGGGACTGCCTCCATATTTTGCTTTTAAAAGTCACTGGAGGTGAAATTAATTGCAATAATGGCAGCAGGAAACAGAGCCAACAACATCTGTTGTGAAGATGGTATTTTTATCTGTCAGGCAACTGGTTACTTATTTTATCTACCGCTTTCAATCATATCTGGGGTTTTTTTGATATCACAGACGGAGAATGGCATAGTGTCAGAGGTGCTGGATTCTTCTGAGAAACTCCATCAGGCTGAAGAGGGCTAAGAACTGCATTTGCTACATCTCAAGCAGCTATGAGGTTATTGTGAGAAAGGTAAGCTCTTCATCAATGCTGCCATTAAATACCTTTTCTCAGAAGGGGACTTGCTATGCTGGATACTAACAATGGAAGCACCTGTTTCTTATATGGCCCTATAGCTGGCACCTGATAGAGACACCCACTGACAATCCCATATACACACTCAAGCTATGCAGCTTTTGATAAGAGACCTATTCTGGCTCACTTAAATCACCGTGCCACAAGACTGATGGGGGAGAAATTTGCTTGTGTAACTGGGAGCAGAAGCAGCTTCAGATAGACAGACTTTATTACAGGTATAAAAATTGTCATTATTTAAATAAAGCAGCAGGTATTTAACAAAGTTAAAAATTTACTCCATACCCTAATTCTTCACTTCCTCATTTCATTTTTAATATTGTAGTCCCACTTCAAATTTAAAAACTAAACAAGTATCTGTTGTCCTATATTTCTTCGTATTTTCTTGGGCATTATGTAAATTAGCCAGTAGTTCTTCTTAAACAGGCAACAAATATGTTGGATCAAATCAGCTTTGGATCAGCGAGTGGGAAAGGATACTAAATTTAGTTCTACATTTAAGTCCTTTTTCTTGTTTCCAGATACGTGTACCATACAAAAAGCTGACTGTCTTTTCATCACATAGATTTTGAAATGTCATGCAATCTGACAGGATACAAGAGGGCAACACAATGAATATATATTACTTACTGTGAAGATGTCTTCATTGCCTCTCTGAAATAATTTTCCCTCCTCTCCATCAAGAAAAATAGGCCCCGAACTGCTGTGATCCCCATACAATGTAATATAAACCTTTGAGCTTGTTCCTGCAGATGGTATATCACTGGTGAGGACTGACACCTTCCATTTCCTAGCTATCAAAAGATAAAAAGACTCACTGAGTTACTTAAACTGAAGATTCTTAAGCAAAATGCATTTCAGTAATCAAAAGTCTAAATAATATCATGTCAATGAATACTGAAATATGTATTTCACAAAATTGCAGCAGACAAATATTGAGTTTGCTATGTTAGGCATGCAAAAATCAAGAAATGTCAGGTTGCATTCACATCTTTTACTCCGCATATGCCATACGACAAAGTCAAATTTGCATCAACGTAGATAATTTTTCAAACACAGTTTTGAAATATTGTATTAAATTGTGTTAAATATGGCTTTCTCTTTACTTAGGATATATCAGCATATTCTTGCATTGCAATGTTGGCATTATATCCTGAGATACCAATACTCTTTCCATGGTTAATTTTGATAATCATCAAGAGCAAGTATATGGATTTAGGCTTTGGTTTAGTGGAAGCTAAGTGTCAATGGTGTGGAATTAAGGGAAATGGTATCACTGAGGGATGGCTGATAACAGGAAGGAATATTAAGAGAACACCCTCACTCCCAATGTTTCTAACTAGCTGATATTCATCTCAAATGGTATACATTTAAGCACCCCCCAAGCTTGCTAAGATAATTTGGCACCACTGATTAATATCACTGTTTCTTAAAGGAGAACTTCCTTTAAAGTACAGCAGCAGTAATAAAGGGCCTTACTGACTACAGAAGCCTCCTATCATCTAATGACTCATCTATGCTACACATTTTACCTGTATTACTGACTTTTCCCTCCATCACAGTATCTTTGTTCCTGTCTGCTCTCGCTAAAATACTAAGAAATAATACAGTGATGATGAGTGAGCTCATCCTGATACAATGAATTTTGTGTTTATTGACTATTTGAGATACTTAAAACAGATCTGTGTGTCTTAAACCCCAGGCAATAAGCTATCCTGCAGTTCTGTTGCGAGGTTCAGTGAAACCACTTTGGTTTTGAGTGTCACTCAATATTTTCAGTGTTAGCCATGGGCATTTTCTTAAAGGAGTCAGTGGATGTTGATCATGACACATACATAGAATTATGCTGCAGCAGAACATTATTTGAGGACTAGTGAAACTAATGATTTGAGGAATTTGCATTTAGTTTTCTGTGGCATTCTGGAAAAAATAAGGTAGGATTAATATTTTTACTTGTTCATGTGTAGCGACATCCAAAAAGAAAAGTTATTTAAGAAATTTATAATTAGGCTGACCTAGGTGTGGTGCATGTCAGTTTCTTTGGATCTAGGAAATAAGTGAGTTGAGAATATACATGCCACTTAGCAGTTATTTTTGAATAACTAATACTGCTTTTAATAAAAGGCAGAAAACAAGGCACAGTAAAGGCACATTATGAAATCTAACATATTAATGAGACCTGACACCTGACAGTAGAATCTATAAGTCTTGTTTGGGCCTTGCTATAACCATTGGGCTATACCTTCTGAGGAAATTTTTACTTCTGTGTGGCCATTGTGCTTTGTGTGTACAACACACATTCCTTGGGAAATGCAGTATTGTAGAATCCGTAACTATTAAAATAGATATTCTCTCCCATACTTTGAGGGGAGAGACAGGGAGATGTTAACATAATGCTTGTTTCACCTTTGAGGACAAACCTCAAGACCTTGAAATTCCACAGCAGTGTTCTGAGATTTACTTATTTTTTTGAAAAAGGCTTGTAGGTCCATGACCTGAGTAGAAAGTGTGAAAATTTTGAAAGACAGAATCAAAATCTGAGAGAATTTATATTGTTTAAGAGCAGGCATCTAAAATATATTATTATCATGAGAAATTTGGAGTATACACCACTACTCAATTTTAAAGAGATACTCTTAAAGCAGCACTTTTCTGAAACTACTGTGAATGTGCAGCTGTAGTACCAATGCTTCCTAAGTAATTATATTGTCATTATTAAATAATAAATTGCCAAACAGCTACTCTTACCAACAGATTAAACTTCATCATTACAAGAATTGTCATAGCCTGAACACATTAAACTGAAAGAACAGGGAAAAAATAATGTGTGAGACCTGAGGAGGAGAAGTAACGGGCAGAATCACATTTTCCAACAACAAAGCAGTGTGACCCTTCTCAAAAGTTGCTGTAATCTGCTTTTTCCACAGCTGAAGTTAGCTTGCTGTTTCTATCACAAAGGGGGTTCTTTATACTATCCAAAGCAGTGTCTGCTCCAATTTTCTGTGAGCCATGACTGATGACAGGTGACCATATAATCCTCCATGTTAATCTCACTTATAACTGAGAAACTAGCATATGTTTACAACATCTAAGTCACTCTATGTAGGTGTACCTAACCTTTTGTCTTAATTTAGTTTATTAAGGCAAGAAAATTGCATTAAATAGTCTCCCTAATTCTTACAGTGGATTAACATGGTAATTAGACTAATGATATTTGATAACATCGGTACTATAAAAGTTAAGTAACTTGTTTAACAGTGATTAATTAAACAATTAAATGGTCTTGCTTTCTTCTGATATCCTTAGAAGTAAAGAGAAATGTCTTATGCATTTCAGAAATGACAACCAATAAGTATTACTAAGTATTGCTTCCATACACTCAAATTGAGGACCCTAACACTTCTGAGAAATCAATCATTTCTCATTAGTTTTTATACACTTTTATACACTTTTAGATATGCAAACCCATGTCATCCAGCTTTCTATATATCACACTAGAAATAACAGTGATTACTACAGATCACTGTGTGCAATGGCGGCTTCTCCAACGCACTGTTTTCAGTCTCTTGGAGCCTTTCCAGTTAATAGTTTCCAGTCTTCACCTCTACCCATATGTGAATATTCACTGCAAAGTCAGTAGAAGACCTGTTTGACCATTTTTTTCAGGTCAAGGGTAGTAAAGATACCAAATAAATTCTCCATTATGTAACTGTTTTTTATATAAGCCTGCCATGCGCTGGCAATGACATCTGTTTGAAAATTTAATTGTGAGATATTGCTGAAAGAAAAAAAGAAAAAAAAAACAGAAAATACTGTATTTAGATGAAATGCTAGTCTTGACTGTTATTGAATAAGATTTCTGTACGATTAATATTTTTTTAAATCCCTCAATATTTATATTGGTTCACAGTAAAATTAGTCCAGAATGCCTTTGATTTAAAAATAGCAAATTTTCAAAACTAAAGGAAGAGGTTAAGGAAGTCAATTGAATTGAAAAGCGAGGTACAGCAAAAGAAAATAAAACAAACTAGTAAAAAGGTTATTTAACCATACACAAAAGAGAATAAGCAAAGAGGACTATATACACTATGTGCTGAATCTGAGAACACAAACTAAGTATGCCTTTACAATCAAGTGAAAACTGCCTCTTCTTCTTTTTTTTTTTTTTTTTAATACGAACGGTGACATACAGTGATTGGGAAATGTCAGCACCGTTGACAAGTCAGCACTGTTGACAAGAATGGGCTACAGAATGGGAAATTTAGAATGGAATGAAGAGTGCACTGAGAGACTAAAACCCATGTATCTTACACCAAAGCAATACTAGGTAATGTTTTTGAACAAATTTTAAATGAATGGACAGTTTTCTCCAGATATATACAGCTAAACAGAAAAAAAGATTACCAGCATCAGTTTACTGCAGATACATGGCACAAGGTATCCAGACTTGCATTGTTCAAATACCTGATCTCCTCCGTGATGATGAGAATTCATCTTTGTAGACAAGGAAATTACAGTAGCTCTAATCTATCCAATCATTATATGAGAAATTAGTAGATAAAATGGAGAAGTGGATTAGTGCAAGACTGTAAAGTAACAAAATAACCAGCTAAATGGGAAATTATACGTTTGTGCAGAAATAAGAAGTATTAATTTATAGGGTTAGTAGTAAGTTTCTCAGGAATCAGTGCTGGAATTTATCTGGATTTCATATTTTCATCAATATACTGCATAAAGTAGGTAATTTCTGTAACACAGTCACTAAGATTTGTCAAAGTATAAAAGGATCAGAAAATCCAGAATAGTAGAAAAGGGATAATATATAACAGCATAAAGTGCAAGGAAATGCATTTTAAAAACACTACCAAAACTTAATGCTATGAACAGGGAATTTATCACTCTAAAAAAAAATAGAGAAGTGAGTCATTGATGTGACTGTAAGATGCACCAGGAGAGAGATTTCTAAGTAGAGAAATTTTACTGTCAGTGTTCCAGAGTTCAGAGAGACAATCTTTTAAATACTGCATAAAGTTCTGGTAACCATATTCAAAAGAAGATTTATTGAAACTAGAAAAGGTCCTGAGAAGACAACCGTGATGATTAGAGGAAATGGAGAAAATGTTTATGTAGGAGAAAAAGTTGAGAGAACATCTGATTTTGCTGATAGATACCAAGGAGGAAAAAGACGTATCTAAGTAAATGACAATGATGGCTTTGGGACACGTATATAAACTAACCATCACTAGGTTTAGGACAGAAATTAGAAAACAGTTAAGACAGACATCAGAAGAAGGACTCAAGCTCTAGAACATCCCTCCAGTGGAAGCTGTAATGACTATAGATAACAAGTTTTAAAATGAGATTTAGTAATTAAATGAAATTACTTACCTAATCGTGTGGTTTCTTTCTAGCAGGGAGCTAAACTAGATAAGCCGAAACTGCCTGGGTCTGTGATCTGTATGTTATGTTGGCTGTTTCTTTTTTAATTATGGCAAGACAAAAAATGAATTCCTTCTAGAAGAATGGCAGAATCTATATAAAGCCCTTGAATGCCTGCTGAATAGTTTTCTATCCTGTTCTTTACACATTATTTAATATGCTTGCCACTTCCAAGTATATTTTATTTATAGGAAGATTCTATGCCTTTTGCAGTTAATTTGCAGAATTAAGCTACCTATATAAGGTAGCTCATATTACTCCTCATGGTGTTTTTCCCTCTGTCAATCAGTACGTTGCTCTAGTCACCAGCATGGTGAGGTTCTCTCTTCAGCCTTCTCTAATCTTACCTAATGAAAGCAATTCTGTTTTATCTGCGTATCTCAGCCACTTAATATTCTATATCTTCCCTGAACCATTAATGAATATATAAACCCTATGACAGTATGGTACATCTCACTGTCAACCTTTTGTCCTGCTCTGAGGTGACCATTTTATTCCTTCACTTTCAGTCAATGTACTGAAATCAGAAGCAAGTCTTTCAGTTAGTGTAACAATCATTTCACCACTTGCTGTGGTCTTTGCTAATTGTAACCTCAGGCAGTACCTCACATCTCACCTTTTGAGTGCTTAGTTTGTTGAGTAACCCTATAATAAGCATCTGATTAAAGGTTCTTGAACCTTGATCTGAAAAATTTAAGGTGCTGTGAATGCAGCAGAAGGACTGCAAGTGATGGAGACATATATATAGCTGTTAATTTGCCTATCTAACATTTAGATATTATTTACAGCATAGAAGCCTGGTACTCAGAATGCTTTATGGTATTTAGTTGGATCCTATTAATTTTGAGATTCATTTTCCAAACATAGGTTTTATTTCTGTATTGACATGTGAAAGGATGAAAAAATACCATTGAGACTCTTCACTTGGAGCAGTTCTAAAACATGCGAAGGAGGACACCAAAAAATGTGGAGATGGAGGGAAGAACATCAGAACCAAGGCCAGCATAGGAAATAACACACAGCTATTTGGTGTGAAACACATTAGACGATGTAGTTGCTTTAGGTTGTAATGTTAGTTTATTACATAGAATACATTGCTTCAAACAACAGAGACGTCTAAGTTATTTATGGGGAAATATATCTGCCACTGGACTCCTAAAAAGAATTGAAGAGTGCTTCTAGATTTCCTACCTGTAGTACAAACCCCTTTTGCTCCAGATCCAACTTCTACTTCCCCTCCATGTGCCTTCTGTCCCACAGGGAGACAATCAAAGCCTCTGGGTCAAAAGGGATTTGTGTCAGCCTTTAATTAGGTCCCCAGTCTGGATAACCAAAGGATCATGATCCAGGGCTTATCTCAGCACGTACATGCCAGTTAGTCTAGACACAGTCTCCAAGAGTACAGAATGGCCAAATTCTCATTCTCTAACTGAAAAATAGCACCTTCCTTCTTCAGGTATATCTCTGACTTCATTGACATTGAAGCAAGGTACTATGCAGTGTTAGGGACTAAAAATCTAACCAAAAAAAATTAAATACTCTGCCTAATCACAATATACATTAAATATTTTCCAATTTTATATTTAAAATCATTTACTGAAAATTGTAAACCATATATAAGTGCTTACTACACACACATAATATTAAAAAATGCTGTAAACAGGTATCCAAAATAATTCTAATAACAGATTGAAAGATGCTTGGATTCTCATAGTACAACATATTTACAAAAAGAAAAAACAAACAAACAAACAAAAAAGACATGGACCACCTTTAAAGTACAGAGGTTAAAGAAGAACACACAACTAAAACTTGTAGTGTATGTAGAACAATTTTAAGAGTGAGCGGTGCTGCCTCAGAACAGAATATGGCAAGGGCAGTCAGGAAGTCCATTGACACACAGTGTCCCTTCTCAGTTCCTGTGGAATCCCAGCGGCAATAAATATGCTCCTTTTCTAGTATCCTCTGGGTAAAAGAGGCAAACTTCATTTGGGGTCTGGTTGATCCTATATACAGACTGAAAGATGTCTTTACTCACATAAATATTCTTAAGTTGGCCTTTAAAAACTGAAATAGCAATTTGATAATACTAATCTATATAAAATTAACATGACTTCTGTTTCCTACTTTTCATTGTATTACAGCATTTGAATAGTATTTCCTACTTTTCATTTCAAATTAATCGTATCAGTTGACTTTGTTCTGGAAAAAGCATTTCTACTGAAAGACAATTATCAAACCCTTTCTCAAATGTCATGAAATATAGGAATCTTATCTTAGAACTCGGGCGGGTATTACAAATTTCAGTTCTCTGTTCTAACAAGCACTAGCTTTTTCTCTATAAATGAGATGGTTGGTATATAACTGAATATCTCTGAGCAGATAACACTCCAGGGAAAAACTGTTTTTTAACCAAGAAATCACTTAGAAGAACAGCTTTTCTTCCTATGTTAGTTCCCATAAAAATCTAAGTAATTATATGTATTTCAGCAATGATATACAATTGTGATTTATATTTATCTGGGTCTGGGCTGTATTCACATTGGGAGTTTTATTGGGTGTGGCATTCATCAGTTTATTTTGTGATTTTTTTTTCCTGAAGATGTTTTCACTAATCTAATGTTATAGAAATTCCAAGATGTTTATTACAAGTCTTTCTCATCTTTATTGTTTCCATTGTCCATTGTCCAAAAGCAAACTTCTTGTTCTTCTTCTTGTTCTTCTTGTTCTTCTTGTTCTTCTTGTTCTTGTTCTTGTTCTTGTTCTTGTTCTTCTTCTTCTTCTTCTTCTTCTTCTTCTTCTTCTTCTTCTTCTTCTTCTTCTTCTTCTTCTTCTTCTTCTTCTTCTTCTTCTTCTTCTTCTTCTTCTTCTTCTTCTTCTTCTTCTTCTTCTTCTTCTTCTTCTTCTTCTTCTTCTTCTTCTTCTTCTTCTTCTTCTTCTTCTTCTTCTTCTTCTTCTTCTTCTTCTTCTTCTTCTTCTTCTTCTTCTTCTTCTTCTTCTTCTTCTTCTTCTTCTTCTTCTTCTTCTTCTTCTTCTTCTGTAGGAAAGGCATTTTCATTTTTCAGGTTTTCAGAGGCATTATGTTCAATGTTATTTAAAGAAGTGTCACACTTCAGAAATGTTTCAGAATGACAAGTTTCTGCTGGATCTGCCAACATGGGAGAAAATTTTTCTCCAACAATATGAATTAGGCTTATTCTTAGGATATGGCACATTTTTGGCTTTCTATTGGGTAGCTCACTGTTTGTGCCTATCACAAGATCACTGGGTATGTGTTTGGATACATTGTTTTGACAGTTGCTGACTTCCACAGGTTTTACATTCATACCCTCTACAACATGTAACTTCCCTAAACTGCTTGTGTTTTTCAGAGTTGAAGACGCAAGTATTCCAAAGTTACTAATAAAATCTAAGGTGTTATTAGCATAAAACCTATTAAAAATATTATTGGCAATCTTATTTATACAGTTATTCTTCAGAGTCACATGATTATTTTTGTCTGTTATTAAATCTTCGCCTGACCATTGTAAATGTTCACTCTTTTTGGCCAACAAACATGGACCCAGCTGGTTCTCAATATCAGATGCCTTTTGGTAGGCATATCCTCTCTGTTCCTCATTAATCGGTGTTACTGTCACCATCAGGATTGGACAATGTTGGCCACATATAGCATGGAGTTTATCCAGAGAATCTTCTTCCTGAAGAGCACTTCTGTTAGCATTACTAACATCAGTTGGCTGAGACTGTATGGGTTCATCATTTAAAGGCTGTTCCAATGGATGCACCTTGTTACCAGGCAATCTAAATTCTCCAGTTGTAAAGGCTGGAAAATTGGTATCAGCCTGTGTGGAAAGATGTGTGGAAGTAGAACCTACCATGACTGATGGTTTGATCTTTTCTTTCTTTGCTGCAGGAAGGGCAGTGATCTTACCATTGCGGCTAGGTTTGGTTTTTATACTTAAGTCATCCTGAAAGGGGTCTGAATCACTATTATGAGGTATATTGAAGTAGTTGCAAAAATTTTCAGAAGGTTTAGCCATGTCTTCAAGTTCTGAAGAAGAGATTTCATTGAGGACTGGGTACTGATTTAGATTGCCAAAGTGCGAGTATGGAACATCATCACTGTTAGTATCAAGGACTGTGTCTGTTGATGTTGTATCCAAATTACCATACATTCCAATCCGTTCAGGTGGTGATCTTCTTATCAAATGATTCTCTTTGAGAAGCCATTTGCCTTTATCTATCAATATTCCTTCATCTTCATTAGCTTGTACGCTAGGTTGACAGTGTTGCTCTGGAGATTCCCCTGAACGGTCATTAGTATGACTCGTCTCTTCTCTGTTAAGAGTATGTTGTGGTGTTGGTAAAGAAGTATTTTCTCTTCTTGATATAATGTCATGTTTGTTTCTGTTTACTGGAAGTCCTTGTGATGGTAGTGAAGAATGTAACAATTTCTCTGCAGAACAAGACCTAGGTTCTTGAGAAAAAGAAACGGTTTTTTCCACCACTGCAGAGTGGAATTCTTCAGTATCCTTTTGAAATACTTTCAACATACAAGGAAATCCTTTGTGAAAGTCAGGCTTAAATGAAGCTTCCGTTTTGCCATAAAGTCGTTCAATAGTTCTTTTTACATAGCCAGTATTATAATGTTTTTCAAGTACTGCTTCCTCCCCGCTGTCATTGGTTAAATCACTGGATGCTCTAAAGTTATAATCACTCTCTTCAGTATCTGGTCTATAATCTGACCAGTCTGAAGTAGCAGGACTTTTTAGGCATTTTTTTAATTGAGAAGTGTCCGAACGTGTTTTATTCTCCAGTTCTTCTACTTGCAATTTCTGTTCTCCTTCGCTCATATCACATTCTGTAATTTGCTTTGATTCATAACAAAATGATAATGGAGAGACTGTAGATAACCTCTCAGAGGTTTCCTCACAAGTTTCTGCATCTTCCTTGTCTTCCTGTACAGAATAATCCTCATTATTATATTCTACAGAGGTTTCAGCAACTAGTTTAAGTTGGTTATTTGGGTTTTTGTCATTACCTGCTGACTTTGGATCAACTTTCTCATCTTCACTTTTATCAGCAGTAACATGTATAATATCTTTTTCACCTTCTAACTCAGAAGTATCCTGATCTAAAATACGATTTTTATCATTAGAAGTTATACTATGAACTGTTGAGTTAGGTTCTACTGAAGTTCCTGACTCTTCATCAATGAATGATGCATCAGTGTTTTTATCTTGAGATTTTTTATATGGGCTATCAGGCATTTCTTCATTTCTTTCAGGTGGCTCTATAGCTGATGCAAGGCTACAGGTATTTGAATTAGTATTGGCATATTGACCATCTAGCTGTGTTTTGGGAGCACTCAAGTCTAAAGTCTCTGTTTCTCTACAAAGACCTTTCTGTATATCAAAACAATTTTCTAATTCACCAGCCAATTTTAGAGCTTCTTCAGAATTTACACTGTCCTTTGGAATACAAGGCTCAACAGATTTTTCATTTTCATGCAAATGTTTACCATTATGAATTTCAGATATGGGCATATTCTCATGGCAACGTGCAGAGTCCTGCTTTTTGAGTTCCCTCCCGAAGTGTGGTAAGTTGTTTTCTGTTGATTGTTGAAAATGTGAGAAGGCAGCCTTCAGTTCATCAACTTTTTCTATGACTGCAGTTTGTTTCAGAAATTGTAACTGTGTAAATATTTCAGAACAGCTACAGGTAGTTTTTTGTATATCATCATTGATAGTTCCAATCAAACTCTCTTTCAGATTCAGTACAAGTAGCCAAGCTAGGAGGACATTGGAGGAAGAACCAAAAGCTGAAGGAGAAAGATCTGAAAGGCTGCAAGCTTTTCCTATACATCCACTATGTTCTTTGTGAAGACCAAGCAAAGTTGATTGTAGTTCATGCAGCAACATGCTAGACATGCAATTATTCTGAACATCAATTCCCATTTCCTCATTGACAATTGCACAATCAACTTGAACAGCAACTTCAGACTTTTTTCTTTGACAGGGGTTGGTATCTTGAATATCAACTTCTGACTTTTTTTTATCATTGTCATGTGTTTCATGAAACAAGTGTAGCTTACCATCATGATGAAGTTCTGACTTTAGTGAATACTTGGCTTCTTCTACTATATTTGTATTAGCATGAATCAAAGAGTCAGTTTGTTTTTCACCTGAATCCTTGGCTGATTCTTCTAAAGTTCCCAATTCACAAATAGGCTTTAATGTTTTTTTGGTTAGATTATGTTCAACCAGATGGTTTTTTCCAGTCACATGCACTTTATTTGTGATAAATCTTATTTGTTTATCTATAGAAGCATCAGTATTTTCTTTAGGAAAATGACAGACATCGTTATTCTCTACATTCCCTTCTTTTTTATTTATAGGGGGTAAGACAGAATTTGGTAACAAGTTTTTCAGCCAAGTTTGGACATAGTTTTCAAGTGAATGCTCAACAACCTCCTCTTGAAAATCCTCCTGGTTTAAAGCCTCTACTGTAATGGCTCTCTCTGACATACTCAACTTCTTTGCACCTTTACTTAGATTTTTCTTCATCCCCTTTTGCTTTTTCTCTTTCTTTGATGACAGTTTTTCTGAAATATTATTTTCCTTTTCTTTTTCAAAGTTAAGATTCTTTGGCACTTCTGACAATGGTTTTGAAATCACTGATGAGTTATGTGTCTGTTCAAAAGAATTGGTTGTGAGATGTGTGCCTTCTTTCTCAGTACTCAGTGTATCCTGACTGTGTTCAGATTCATTGTTTGAATCAAGAGTCATCAGACCATCTTCACTCTTTGCAGACGAAATGACACTATTTTTTTTGCCTGACTTCAATTTTACCTTGGCCAACTGGTTGTTATTACTTCTTGGTTTTTTATTAGATAATAATCCATTTTGTTCCACTGAATCCTGGTGATAGAATTCATCTTCAGGACATATGCTTTTGTCTGAATTGACAGACCCATCATTGTTTTTTACAAAAAATTCCATTCCTTTTTCCTGAGGCATTTCAGAATAATTATCCATAGCCTCTGTTGTGGAATCCTGTGCAGTTTTGCTTGTGATATGCATTCCCTCACTTTTAATTATCCCTGAAATTTCTTTATCTTTTTGATTTTCATATGTACCCTGCTCTAGAAAGTCAGACGATTTCCTCTTCTTCTTCTTTTCGGTGAGGGAAGATACAGATTGGCTGTCATCAATGAGATGTGTTGCCCTGACAGATTCAGTCCTGACACTGATTTGATTCTCACTTTTGGTAACAGTAGGAAAGAATCCAGTTGTTGGATTTATTTTCTCAATAGGAGCTGTACTACATGGAGGTACCATCATCTTCATCTGGCTATGTCCAGGACAGGCTGAATGCACTGAATCTTGAAAAACAGGTAATAAATCAGCAGCTTTGCATTTTGTTTCTTCTTTTGACTGACATAATTCTGAATATCTAACGAAAGAACTCAGTGATCTTTTTATTTGTTTAATATCACATGACTGAAG